GTTGAGAAAATACCCATGCTGGACATATAACTTCTGGGACATTTACCTTTGCTGGACACTGGTGGATGACCTTTGCTGGACATATAACTTTGAGGATATAAAAAAAAAAAAAAAAAAATTCTGACTACTAACTACTAACTACTAATATTTATTTTACTGCAATTTACTTTATAGTTTTTTTTTTCTTTTTTTGAGAGGTCTTATATGCCCATTTATTTTTATCGCATTTTTATTTATCGCACTTTAATTTTCCTTAATGGGTAGTTTACGACTCCCGACATGTTGTACATTTATTTTATTATCTTGTAAAGTGTTGTTTATTTTTGTTGTACTAATTTGCAAGTGTTTTCTTTCTTTGTGTAGTTGTCAAAAAAAAAAGAAAAGAAAAGGTGTTAGTGCGTTCACCGAAGCAGTCATCGTTCTTATCTTTCAAAATTATTGTACGACCCTAAACTAGAGCGGACCCTTAGAAATCTTTGGAAATCTAAATCGACTTTAGCAATGGCAGAAGCAGTAGTTGACCAACCTAGATCACTGAAGGCACATTTTACCCTTACTGTTGACGTTTCATCATCTTGCATCCAATTGCCAATTACCAAAGCAACTCATTATGAGATTAAGCCTAGTACCATTCAAAAGCTTCCATCTTTTCATGGGCTTAGTAATGAAGATCCTTATAAACATTTCAGTGAGTTTTTGGAGACCTGTTCTACTGTGAAACTCCAAAATTTTACCGATGAGGTCCTTAGGTTGAGACTTTTTCCTTTTTTACTTAAGGATAAGGCCAAACATTGGCTAAATTCCTTGCTTGCCATCTCTATCACAACTTGGGACCAATTGAGGCAAAATTTTTTGGACAAATATTTCCGATAAGTAAAACCAATTAGATACAATGTGCCATCACCAATTTTTCTCAAATTGATAATGAGCACTTCCATAAGACTTAGGAAAGGTTTCGGGATTTATCCTCACCATCAAGTACCCCAGTGGCAACTTGTTTACATTTTCTATTCTGGTTTGACTGACTCATTTAAACAAATGGTTTACTCGGCCTGTGGTGGGACGTTTATGACTAAGAGTGATGTACAGGCATGAGAGTTATTTGAAAATCTGAGTGAAAATTCCCTCCACCATGCGTCTGTCTCTCGACATGAGAAGCAACCAAACCTTAGTGGTATGAAGAAAGGTGGCCTATATGAGGTAGGTCATAGTGTAGATATTACTCAGAAAGTTGAAATATTGTCTTAAAAAATGGACCAACTGTTAGTAGTAGGATACATTTCTTCACAACCAGCATAATCGCCATACCAAGAGGCTTGCATAATCTGTTTAAATCCTATTCACTGTGCAACCGAGTGCCCATCAGTTCCAGAGCATGTCAATGTGATCGAAGGATTTTCTAAACCCGGTAATGATTCATTCTCAAACACTTATAACCCGGGATGGAGAAACCATCCAAACTTTTCCTGGTTGCTTACAACCACAAGAAAATCCTTATGTTCCATCCCCACTAAGGCAGAATTTCCAAAATTTTTCCAATCCGTCTCTTTACCCTTCTATGTCTCAACAGCCATACCAATATCCTTTGCAAAAAAATTCACCACATTTGCGAATAGTGTTAGAACTCTTGCATAGGATGGATGCTACAAACCAACTTGTTCATTCTCAGGACCAATTCATTTCAAAACTTGAGACCCAAATTGGCTAACTGGCTAACACCTTGAGTAAGAGAGAGAAAGGACAATTGCCTAGTCATCTAGTCAAAAATCCAAAGGGGCAGTATAGAGTGGAATCATCTACTGGCAAGAACATAGAGCAAATCTAAGCTGTCATGACTCTTAGAGTGGTTGAGAAATACCAAACTGAACAAGTGGGACCGATGAAAGAGTGCGTAAGCAAGGCAGTCAAATCTAAAATTCACTAGAGGAAAGTAACGAATCTAATAGTCCTCCCCTAAGTCTTCCGAGTGAGCTTACGGCACCCTATGTGCCGAAGGCACCATATCTCCAGTGTTTAAATGATCATTCTTTTTTTTTTTTTTTTTTTTTTTTTTTTTTTTTTTTTTTGTAAGAAGAAGCATGTATCTATAGAAGCAATGATGAAGGTGTTCAAACAAGTGAAAATCAATCTCCCCCTGTTGGAGGTGATTAAACAAGTACCCTCCTATGCCAAATTTCTTAAGGACTTGTGCACTTAAAAGCTTAAATCCAAGACCCATGTGACAAAAAAGATTCTACTCACTAAACAGGTCAGTTCTATTTTGACCAACAATACTGCCCCTAAGCTTAAAGATCCAGGTTCATCTATAATTTCTTGGGTCATAGGGGAACATTCAATTGAAAAGGCACTGCTTGACTTAGGTGCTAGTGTCAATCTTCTTCACTGTTCAGTGTACGAAGAAGTTGGGTTTGGTAAGCTGAAACGTACATCAGTGACTCTTCAGTTAGCTGATCGTCCCCTCAAAACCCCTCGTGGCATACTTGAGGATGTCCTAGTTAAGGTCGATAAGTTCTACTTTCCGGTTGATTTCCTTGTCTTTGACATGGAACATGCATTAATTGATAAGAAACAGATCCAAACCATCTTAGGACGACCTTTCTTAGCCACTTCCAATGCATGTATTAACTGTAAGATGAGAGTGATGTAAGTATCATTTGAAAATATGCAAGTCAAGATGAATGTGTTTCACGCATCCCAACACCCTTCCAATGATAGTGAATGTTTTGTAGTTGATGTGGTTGATGAATTGGTGGAGGACATTCTTTCATCTACTCTCTCAACAGATCCTTTAGAGGCATGTCTTACTCATTTCAGATTTGAGAATTTTGATATTGATAGATCTATTGAAGAGGTCAACACTTTGCTTGGCTTTGCTCCTCCTATGAACTTTCAGCTATGGAACTCTCGATTTAAGCTCCTACCCACCCTTTCTAAGGAGCTTGCAGTACCTTCCATTGTGACCCTACCAAAACTTGAGTTGAAACCTCTTGTAGCTTCACTTAAATACTCTTTCTTAGGGCCTAATGACATTCTTCTTGTGATTATTCCATCTAACTTGTCTAGTGAGCATGAATGTCGCCTTTTGTGTATACTCAAAGAGCATAAGAGTGTCACAATGAAAGAAGAAATGAAAAAGGAAGTGGTAAAAATGCCAGATGTGAGTATCACTTATCCCATCTCGGATAGCAAGGGGGTGAGTCATACATAGGTTGTACACAAGAAGTCATGAATTACAGTGGTTGAAAATGAGAGTGGTGAGCTAATTCATACACTTACCACTACTAGGTGGGACGTATCCAATGCCTTGGTAGACCCTGGTTAACAAACCAATTGAGTCAGTTTCATCTAGCTGAAGACGTTAAACTTAGCGTTGCATTAGAGGCAACCAATGGTCTGATCTTGTGTTTAACACACGTCCCACTGTGTAGATATTTTGGTTTAAAAGAAAATACTTGAGCTCCTACTTCAAATAGGCTTGGTTCTTGTTCCATTGGGGAAATGTCTCCCTCAGCTTAATGTGGTTTGGTGTTGTAGGGCTTGTCAGCGGCATTGTAGAACCAGTATATCGAAGAGATAAAACGTCTGGTACAGTAAAACCAACCTGGTATAGTTCATACACCTAGGGAACGTCACTAAGGCACGTTTCAATCGACTAGAAACCTTTGGAGTGCATACCTCCCTATAATCGAGTAAGATAAGGGTAGATTCTTTTACTAATATTGTTTTTTTTTTCTTTTATTTATTTTTATATTGATTTCTTTCTTATAATTAATTTGGTTGTTCCTTGTGGTATGTGCCATTGAGAACAACGTCAATTAAGTTGGAGAGGGTTTGGTTTGTGTTTATTTTGTGTGTTTATTTATATTTCTATATTTATTTTCGGGTGTGTTTTGAAAAAAAAAGGTTTTAAAAAAATTTTTATTTTTATTTTTATTATTTTCGGATGTGTTTTGAAAAAAATAATAATAAACGGTTTTGTTTTCTTGGCATATTTTTTATTTTTATTTCTTGTTTTATTTTTATTTAACACAATTTTACTTTTCACACAATTTTATTTTTATTCAATAGAATTTTATTTTACATTAAAAAAAAAAACACAAATGCAAAACAAATACATAAAATAAAAAATATATATATATATATATATAAAGAAAAGGAAAAAAAGAAGAAGCTGCTTGTCAAAATTCCAGCAATGTCTCGATGACGAAGGTCAAAAACCGATCTTGTTTGCAGGTAGCCTCACTGCTCGACTCTACTACCGATCACCTCGCCACGAAATTGATTCTGGTGATGCCCTTGAAGGCAAAGGAGATTGCACCCTGTTGGCCGTCGAACGAGGAACACCAAGATGGCAGGTTGTTGGCCATAATTGTTGTTTTTCTATTTAGTTCTGTGTTATGTTTGCAGCTGCTATTTTTGGGTGACCACTCGAGCGATCATTTGGTCGCTTGAGCAAAGATTTGTAGCTCCCAGTATCTTGCAGGGTTGCAGGCAAGACCGTTCGAGTGAAGGAATGGTCACTCGAGCATAGAATACGAGCTCCTATACTACAACAAAAAAGGGTTTTTACGATGCACAATGCACGTCGTAAAAACCCTTCTACGACGTGCAACGCGCGTCATATTATGACCAGTCATGAAAAGTCATTCACTTTCAACGACATGTCTTGTACGTCGTTAAAAACTATTTAACAACAAATTTTGTACGTTGTTACTTTTTCTACGACATGCTAAAGTACGCCGTTAAAAACTATTTAACGACAGATTTTGTACGTCGTTGTTATTTTTTCTACTACTTTTGCACGCTGTTAATTAGTAAGACAATTAACGACGCTGATTGCGCGCCGTAAAATATGTAATACGACGACTAAGTATGCCTGTCGTAGAATATGCAAATTTCTTTTTTATATATAAATTCAGCAAGTTCTATTTGACCAATTTTGTACAATCTAACAAATATTACAAACAAGCATCACAAAACATCAATCAACTACCAAAATATTGTTCAACACATCAAAATGAAACTATATCAATAAATTATAAACATTCAACAATTGTCTATACATTCCAAACATTCGAAAACTAAATCCTTAAGTTCTAAACTGTACAAAAAGTTTAAACCATCCAAAACTATGCATATCTAGCTTTCTAAATATATCGACAACTATTAAGAGATTATCTAAAACTACCGACAATAATTCCTATAGCAATTGTAGCTGTAGCAAATCCACTTGCTCCTATCACAAGGACGAGGGTACCCAATGTATGTGTTAAGGCACCTAAACCTGCGACAATAGCTGGAGCAACTAATCTTGTTGCATTTCTTGTCTTCATGACAAAGGAAACTTCACATAAGTACAAAAACCAACGACTCAGTGACAAAATTATTTCTTGAGGTATTAAGAAATGATCAAGAAATTTTAAAACATCAACAAAACATTTCTAAAATTAATAAGATAATTCAATAGCCCCATAAAAGCAATGTCATAATAAAAAATTAGCAAAAATTCATATTTTTTTACAAACAATAGCCAACATATTTTTTGGGATTTCATGGTTTTCAATCTAAAAGCACATGATTTTTTACAAACATTAGCCAACATATTTTTTTATCACAAATTCCAAATCAGTTTTTATACGAAGAAAGAAATTTAATGACAAATAAGTTCTCTAAAACAGTGAAGAAATATCATACCTTAGAGGAGAGAAGATAAGAAGAGAATGAGAGAGGAAGAGAAAACCAACTTGTTGACGCCGCATGAACAGAACATAGAAATCAAAGAGAAGATAAGAAAATGAGCAGTTAGGATTCAAAGGTTCCAAACCAATCAACATGTTGTGAAGCTGTTAGTATATTCAAGAAAATCAATTTATAAACAAGTTGAGTTGTGATTTCATAGATAGAATAAACATTTTTGTTTCTGAGGAAGCACTTGCAAAACAGTAGAAGAGTGAATCTAACAGGAACTAACCTTGTTATACACCCCTATGTATGGAAGAAGCCATCCAAACCCGTTTAGGAGCAAGCTGTTACTGCAGATTTTCAATGCTTCTCTGGAGTATTAGTGAGAAGAGCAGCACCCCTACATGTTTAGGGAATGTCAAACTAATCTCATTGATTGCCCAAAATATAAAATGAAAAGAGTAAAAACGTAACGTACTAGAAAATAACCATATAAAAATAAATAAATATATGCTCTCAAATAATAAACTATTACTTCTAATGTACGTTATCTGACTCTATATCATTTATTCACTAGTACCCTTTTTCTTGCAATGTAGAATGCCAACACTATGTTCAAAGCAAAAAAGAAGGTGGAAATATGTCAAAAAAATAAATGCTTCCAAAGGGTACCAATGAATAACATAATTAATATAAATATTTTTCCATGAGGTACCTTTTCTATCTCTTCAAAACTGCCACCTTAGCAGCTGCTGCTTTCAAATGTTTGTTATGTACCCCAATTGTCATTAGGAATGAACAAGTTTCAAAAAGACGCAAACATAAACTTAATGAAAAAAAATTAGTCAAATCAAAGATAACTTCAGAGTGAACAATTACTATATACAAAGATATCAACAAAAAGAAAGTGACATAATGATTTTATTTAATACAAAAAGAATTTAAATTTATTACCGACAAGGCAATCTCAGATACATAGTACTCACTCCACTTAAAACTGTAGAGCTGTAAAAATTAAAACAAATTAGGAGTTAAAAAAAAAATGAAATAAACCCAACAAATTCATTTGTGTGAATACAAGTACACTAAAAGGTCTGAAAAACAGAATTCTGGGTGTTGAGAATGCTCCAACAATATCGTAATTTCTATTGAACTCCACCAACAAAACTGTTTGATTTGAGTCAAGGTCTATCATCAATTGAAATGATTGTTTTATCAGGATATCCAGTTTGTTATGAACATATGATGGCCTTTACTATGAAAACCATATAAGTTGACAAAAGCAGTGATATTACACTTTCAACATATTATATGTATGAATCTATTATATTGAAGAGAACACAGACAAATACACATATATAGTAATAAATAAATTACTACCTGAATCACGAAATTTCGCCTTTCACAATCCCTAAACATATGCAAACAAAAAAGCTAAACAAGAAGCTGGAAACATTTGACTCAAGGATTTTTCATTGTTATTATCAGTGAAATATTGTCCAATGATGAAAGAGATATTCAAATGGGGGCAAAAGTCAACAATATACCTTGATTTGAAACTCTTCCCACATGCCAAATCTGACAAAAGAATATACCACCCTTTGCATGAACAGCATCTACAATCGGTTTCCAGGCTTCAACTTGCTCCTTTGTCCATATACCAGGTGTAAATGGATATCTTCATTTGGAAAGAAAGAAGAATTAGTAATAGAACAATAAGAAATGAAGACACTCACGCTTAGTCAAACAGATAGGCACACTCTTGCACATGGACGCCTACATATTTTCCTTTAAATCAATAGAAAAGATTGAAATTGGCGAACTACTAATGTTAAAAAGTACCCTTGTGCAGTATCAGAAACCCCAGTGGCTTTGGAAATGAGAAGACCTCCTTTGCTGGTCCTCTGTGAGTAATATAAGATAGCATGTGGTTGAGGAACGTTATTGAAAGATCTCTGCCTAGTCAATGGCACCAAGACAACTCTGAAAATTTTGGAGCAAAACAAGAAAAAAAGAAAAGAAAACTACATCAAGCATTTAGACAATGTGCTCCCCGTAAAGATGAACTTTACACTAATTAAATTATAATAGCTTCTTTAGAATTAAAAAACACAAGGCAAACAAAAGAACCACCACTAAAACAAGAATGACATGACAAAAGTTCACAAAAACGTTAAGAACTTCATTCGATGATTAAAATTCAATCACGATTAAAAAGAACTAACATGTCCAGATCAACATACGAACTGCAGCCGGATGGTGTGTTGTGTCAGTTATAAGCTACAAATACATAGCTTTCATAAGTCTATATGGGACAATGAACTGAAAAGTTCAAAAGAAAATGACAACAACCAAGTAAATGAAAACGAAGTCACAAAATGAAGAGGAAAAAGAAAGCTACTCTTTAAATTTGCAGACAATGCCTAAAAGGAGATGTGACCTTCCCATTTATCTGTCAGGGTATGAAACTAAGGGATATTTGTTTACATAGATATCAGATGATTCTTCTTAAGCCCCTTAAAATCTCACAGAAAACATCACTTCTTTCTTGTATTTTTGTTTTAAAAAATAAAAAATAAAAAATAAAATAAAATTTTCTTGAATTCTTTTCCAATTGACGCATTTAATGATGATGAGCAGAGACTTTCTGCACGACACAAATTTAAACAACTGCCAACAAAAGTTAAGAAGAGAAAATCATTTGGGCCAATACATAGAGAATAATCATCTTGTTAATTAATCATTTAAAAATGCCAGGTCCAGGGCAATCTAATAAGTTTAGGCTGCATCCACAGATCATATGAGCGAATAATATGGAACACTGCATATGATATTCATTAGGAACTTTGGAGAGATACACATGAGATGATATTGAAGGGGAAAACACTACCAGATATAATTAGCTTAAGAGTGAAAGTGGTCTACAAGAAAATGATATCTCATTTCTAAAACTCTAATCACAGAATCAACGACATAAAATAATTCTACTCATATTGTCTGTGGTTGGTTTTCTTTCCATGTGCTTAAACCCACCTATGAATATATATAAGGCCATCTCTAGCCCTCACTCAAAATAAGTAAAAATTTGAATAAAACGTTAATTTGATACAAATGGACAAACTCAGATTTAAGCATAAATCTAAGTAAAGACTACACTAAAGGCAAACTGGTACATTTTGGAGTCACAAAACAGCCTTCAAAATTTTGAGTAAATTTGATTTGTTAAAAAATTTGAGTAAAACTCAATTTGGTACAAGTTTGGGTCAAGGAGTGGAGGGTGTTTGAGTGATTTTTACCAAATTTTAAGTTTCATATAAATTTGAGTCAAAGATGCCCTAAATATAAAATACCAGCAAGTATACATTTAAATTTAAAAATGTAGTATGTCAGCACATTCATGTCAAATAGAAGTAAAACAATAAATAACAAAATAAAAATTGACTAAGAAACAACAAAGAAGACGGTTTCTTCAAACTAACATCCATTAAATATAAAAATACAGTCACTAATTAGAAGAATTACAACACTGAACACAACGAAGTGAACTGATTGAGAGAGTGAATTACTGAATATTAAAAATGAAAGAATGAATGAATTTCCCATATGGGATTTTCCTCAAACACCACCAGTTAACAAATCCACACAGCAACATATGGAGAAAACAATTGAAAAAAAATAACTACTTTCTATCAATCGAACTGTTTATTGCAAATATAAACAACAAAATCAAGTGGGATCAAAATCAAGAAAAATTTAAGTGTGTGTAAGAAAGAAAGAAAGATACCTACGAGAAAGTAGGAAGTTTCCATCTTGTATGCGGAGATAAGAGGGTTATGGAGTGGATGATCTTGCTCTTTTTCTTCTTGTCCTTGCGTTACTTGTTTCAATTCCATTTTTATTCACTGAAAAAGGTTGAAAAATGGAAGTTTGTGGATGAATGAATGAATGAATGCCATTTTTATTCACTGAAAAAGGTTGAAAAATGGAAGTTTGTGGATGAATGAATGAATGAATGATATCCCAAAAACCAAAGAGAGTAAAACTGGGTAAACAATACAAGAAAGAAGATTGCAGGACAGGAGGCTCCAATATTGGATTGGGGAAGCTGGGTGGGGGTATATATAGCAAGAGGATCTCATTCTTAATTTTTTTCTTATGAAATTTAAATTTCATAAAAAAAATAATATTAATAATAAATTATTTTCAATTCATTCATTAAATATTTCATCAAATTAAAAATACAAAATACTAAAAAGAATCCTTGAGATGTCTACCCCTAATAAGTTTAGTACCCATGGCTGAACATAAATTTCCCCAGGTTTCACATACTCAAAACCTGATCAAATTACGAGGCAGAGAACTACTTTTACAAATTCATCACAGTCAAGTCTCTACACAATTTCAATTTTGCACAATCATGAAAACTCACCCCCAAAATAGCTATGATTTTGCTTTACTAAAGCCTCTTTTCATTCCATCTTGTAAACATGATTTAAACTACATAAAAGATCAATAAATTCATGCCTGAAACAATTTAACACAAATTAAAAATTGAATTGAAAATTTTAAAGACTAAGAACTTTTTGTCAAGCTCTCTAGAAATTGAGTGAATTTCTAGAATATATATATATATATATATTCCAGCATTGTTATTTTCTTCTTCATGATTCCCAAAGATAAAAAGCACAAGAAAATTACAAACAATTATCGAGAGGTAATCGACAAATTTATAAAAACCTGGAATTATTGTATCCCTAATTGCAAACACAGGTATAGATGATACGACTGAAAGATAAAACAAAGAATCTGACATAAATTAAAAAAGAAAAAAAGAAGACAGAGAGAGAGAGAGAAGAACCCAAGCCTTCGAATTTGTCAATAGAAAAAGGAAGAAGCTGAAATTGTTGGGCGAAAAAACAATGGATTACCAAAGTGATAACCCTGCCTCACCCCTCCCCAGCAATCCCCTCTGGTAACCACCCTCCAGGACCAAACTCAGTAATCCCCTCGCCTATCCTCCAAAATCCGACAATCTACCTAACCCTTCCCAGCCCCTCCGCCATCGCAGAACCATAAGAGAGAGAAAGAGTGAGAGAGATGAAGGGGACAACAAATAATCGTACAAATTGAGTCAATCCGAACATACCTCAAGAATCGAACTGAGATTTTTTTCCAGATAGAAGCGAAGAGAAGAACGAAACCCTTCCCCTTTGAACCGTCGATCGTCGCCGCCGCCGAACGAGTCTTGCCACCGAAGAGAGAGCATCGTTGAAGGTAGAAGAGAAGCTGCCTAGTCCCCCTTTCTAACCCTCTCTCTTCTCCCTGCCTAGCAACAATTACAATTTTCCCATTCCTATTTTGATTGACTTTCTATTTTGTAATATATTTTTGTAATTGATGCTGAAATTTTTTGTTTTGTCGCCTTTTTTTTTTTCTTTTTTTTTTTTTTTTTTTTTTTATTTCGTCATATCATTTACGACATAAATTGTGCGTCGTAAAAAATACAATACTTTTAACGACGGATGTTATGTCCGTCGTGAAAAATATTCACTTTTCACGATTGGCATATGTGCGTTGTGTATAATTAATGTATTAACGGCACGCCATATGCACGTTGTAGAAAGTTTTATTATTTATGACATGCATTGCAATCCATAAAAAAATCATTGTTTTTACCGTTCACGGCCTACGCAATAGACACGCCGCAAAAAAAGCAAGTCGTAAAAGTGAGAAACTACGACATGCATTTATTGTATGCCGTTGATATGGTGCCGTAAAAGGTTAGTTTTGTTGTAGTGCTAGTAATTTCACTGTAGCACTGCAAAACTTTTGAGACCTTGCGTATACCGCTCGAGTGATGGAAAGTTCGCTCGAGCAGTCTCTTTGTATTTTGGTACTTCACTCGAGCGAAGGAAAGTTTGCTCGAGCGATCTGTTCGGGACAACAGTCTTAAATTTCGATCTAAACACTTTTTGACTTCACTTTTTCACTCTCCTTCTCTCCCTAAACTCTATTTTCGAAAACCCTTACTTCTAAACACTAGATCTCATCTATTTTTAGCAAGAATACATCCTTGCTTCTTCATCAAAGTTGTTTATCTCATCAAGATCTACATTTTAGACCGATTGGATTGGTATTGTAAAGATTCATCTTTGGGTCTTTATCCCTTATTCTACAACTTTTGAGGTAGGAATATCTTTACTCTTATATATTTATATTTTGATCTAAATAAGTGTGAATCATGTGATGAATAGCATAATTGAGATGAATGATATATATATATATATATGTGGGTTTTTGTGCAATAGGGTATTCATATAAACCTTAAGGGGGTTGTTCATGAATTTGATGTAGTGGATGATTGATAAGTAAAATTGGAGAATCCTTGTTGTCACGTCCCAGATTTACATGGTTCGACTTACGTGAATAAACCACCCAACGATGAATAATAGATAACAACTCTCATGCAAATGAATATAATATAGTCACACAATACATGTGTTTATCCGACTTCATACATTCCTAGATACAACATCTAAGCCAAATGGATGTTTTGTAACTAAAAACATAATTTAACGCCTTGAGGCTTACATCATACACAAAGGGTGTAACCCTTATAAGAATGGCATACGACCAATAAATAACATAAATGGCTCATGGCCTACAAATAATAGAACCACCCTATACGGTTTCGAACACAGCTTCACGTCTCAGTCCACATCCATACGTGTACATCTGAAAAACATTTTCAGCCACGTAGGGTGAGAATAAAGCCCAGTAGAGAATATTTTAGAAACTAAACGTACTCCACTAGCATAAATGATCATGATGCAATACATATATACAATATGCCCAAATGCATTTTCAAATCCATCTGATTTCTCAACAAAATCTTTTTTTTTCCAATTACCAAAACCCTACGTTTAATCAAAATGTTTTTTGAGTTCAAAACATCTATTTGATATAAAATCCCTTTCTAAAAACCAATCCAGGTATCTCAATACTAACCAGTATATACATTGTTAAATCAAATGCAAATACATCGCTAAACAATAGCAAATACATTGCTAAAACCTTTTCCCAAAACATCCTTTCAAGTTAAAATGATAATAAATAAAATGTGTAAATCTCCAGGGCCAGTGTTCATACGAGTAACTATATAAGTCACAAGGTCATTTTTACTGGTGCTAACCGGAAGGCTCGACACCTATCGCGCGGGTTTAGGTCTTTCACCATGGACACACAGGCCAACATAATTCTGCTTTAACATCCTGTAGACACCCTATTTTTGACCGTCCTCAAGACTTGGACATCATTGTTTGTGCACTCGATGATTGTGCGTGTTTGTGTTCGTTTTGAGTGCCCGAAGTCCTCGGCGGAACGCCTTGTCTTTGAGCCTCTAAACCTTAATTATTTTGTTCTTGGTTTTGCACCAAGAGCTTGTTGCCTCTGGTTTGGAGGAGTGGATGACCTGTCGGCTAGTCCCCTAGGCTGTCGTCTAGGGCTTGTTCTTGTCGGCTACCAGTGGTGGCCGACAACCATTGGTCTATTTTTCCAGATATTTGTTGATAGTTGTGCCAACTGTTGCTCACTAAGCTGCATCGTCATACACGTGTATGGTGAGATGTTCACAAGCTCAAGACTTGTTTTTTTTATATATAGGGGGTGTCCTCCCCCATTTTTGAGGGTTAGCATTTTTAGAACAAAAATCTCTCTATCTTTCTCTAGAATTCTCTCTCTCTTGTTATTTTGCATACATTTGCTTAGTTTCCCTTAGCTTTTGCACATCAATTCTTAACCAAATACTCTCACCTTTGGGCTGAGATCACTTGGAGCCTTGTTTGAGCTCTAGAAGGTGATTTGAGCTTGGTTTGTTACCTATTTTGTGCCTTAGCTTCAAGATGTATAACACTTGTTATTTAAGCTTGTTTTCAATACTTGTTTTGTCATCTTTTCAAACTGTTTCTGGGCTAAGTTTGAAATGTCAAAAACTCTATTTTTGTGACTTAAAAGTGTTGGTTTGAGGTCTCTTTGAGTTAGGGGGTGGTCCACCATTCTTGCTCCTTTATTTGTTAAGCTTTTGTGCCGTCGTTTTCTCACTTTTAAACTAACTTTTTTGGGACTTTTAACCACTAAATCTCAGAGATTTTTTAGTGGTAAAAACTTTTTTTTGAAGTGAAAAATTGGAGGGATTAGCCTCCCCTCCTTGTGTTTTGTTTGCATGCCTAGTTAGCTTCATGAGTTAGCATGTTTTTCTAGCTTAATTTAGCTTAAGTCTAGTATGTTTTTGCCTCTAAAATAACCTGTTTTGGCTCTGTTTTGGCCTGGTTAGTTCATTTGAGGCTTGTATTGCATAGTTGTAGTGTTAATTCCTTCACTAGCTTGATGTTTTAATGCTTTCATCATCATTCTTTTGAGTTAATTGCATATTTTAGTGTTGTTTTACACTTCATTTTATCACTTAAAATCTCTGCAACCTCTCTCTTTGCTTCACTCTTTTATTTACTTTTGAGAGTTGTTTCAAACTTGGGATCCTTTATCCTCTTTGAGGGTTCATTACCAACGGCATGATCTCTCTCATGCCTTAAATTACCCCTTGGTTGACACCTCTTTCCATTAGAGGACACTCACTTTTGGACTTAATCGATTAAAGAATGAATCGGTAATGTAAAATGAGTAAACAAAATGAACAAGTAATAGAGGCAAGAAAAGCATTCTTTGTGTTGCATTGCATGTGTTCGAATCAGACGTTGATTCTAACACAAGGAAAATGGGACATTTCAGACTCAAAAGTGATGAAATGTGCCATTTTCCTTGGTCACAATCACCCTTGATCATGCATGATAGGGTGGTGGTCTTTTTGAGTCTTGATTTGCACTCATTAACTTGTACAAACTTGGTTCCTTAGCCATCATGCATGGAAATTGCTTGATTGATGGTTTAAGGGCCAAGAGTTACACTCCTTTGAGCTTGTGTGATGATAAGAAGAGTAATAGTACAAACAACCCTTGAGAAAACACTGCTTTGCCTTTGTTGGCTCTTTGTTGTAGCAAAAGGAAGTTCAGGGCAGTAGTGGCCGACCGGCCATCAGCAGTGGCCGACGCCCACTGGCAGTAGCCAACCGGCCACCAATGGTAGCCGACGGCCACCATTGGTAGTCGACCGGCCATCAATGACATTTGCACAGTATGTTGGTAAGGAGGATCAGAGGCATTCTAGGAGTTAGCAGCACTGTTGGTGTTCAAATATGTGCAAATAGAGGCGTTCAGTGGTAAGGCGATGGCTTTTCGGGTAGAGAAACTGAGCATGCATGCATCCCTCACTTCCCGAGGCCATTTAATTGCTTTGTTTATTTAATTAGAGGTAGCTAATTAATTAGTTTAATTGCTTTGTACTTAATTAGCATAGTATTTAGCTAATTGAATTGATTTGTAATATTTAATTAGCTTAGAATAAGTTCGTTAATTTGTTTCAATTGTTATAATAAATAGTTAGCTTAATTAGCGTAGTTAGTTGGTTAGCTTATTCATTCGGACCCTCCTTCGCGAGGGTGTAATATTGTAATAAGTGTGCGTACGTGTGTGTATGTCTTCCAACCCCACGTCTTTCTCCCTTTTACTTAATCGCTTTTGATGGTTAGATTAGGGACATGTTTTAGTTGGCATATCGCATGCTTGCATCTATTCATCTTGTCTTGCATGCACCGAGGCTCGGCGCATCATTCAAACTGCATTGCTATTTCAATTTCTTCTTTGAATACGTATTTAATCGCATATTGTTCAAATCGATCCATATGCCATATTAGTAGCCGAGCCTATTAATTGCATTATTACATGTGTTGCATTAGACATCTTGTATAGTTAGAATCATGCATTTTTCTAACTAGTTTCTGTTTTGACTTGGAGTACTCGGTGTGTCTTTATGCTTTAGCATACTTATATGAGTGTGATTGCCATATTTCCATGATTAGCATGCTTGCCATGACGCTATGTGCTTATATGATTAATTGCTTGAATGCCTGTGGATGAAGGCTTGTTGTTTGAATTGGAACGATTCATCAAGTGTGCGTTTTAAGCCTACTATATTTGGTGGCAAATCCGTATCTTTTAAGCCCACTTGAGGGTGGCAAATTCAAACCATTTTGCGCGAACAAACATGAGTTGAATTGTTCTAAGTCTTGCAACTAGTCTATACTTGCTTGTGTGCGTCACATAGTAAAGCTAGTTTAATAATCAGAATAAGAACACATATTGTTTATAAAAATACATATCATGATTAGTAGAGGCCGATCTTTGATCGGGCGAGCGGGGGTGCCCATTTTAGGACCTTCCCCTCTTGTACCCAAGTTCCCGAGCTGAGGCAACTT